ACGAAGGAGGATTCGACAGATTCATCAGAGGTTCTTGGCACTCATTTGTGAAAACTCTTTTCGCAGCATGCTTGCCTAACGATTGGATGGACAAGTTGTACGAGAAAGCCCAGCACTTACGCATGTCGTCGTACGAGGACTTCAAAACTTATAGTACTCGAGCTCGTACAATTCAGAACTTGATCAATTTTGATGACGTCAAGTTGGACGATTACCAGTTAGCAAAGTTCGTGGAGTATGGTATGCTAGAAGAACTCAAGGCTGGAGTGAAGCTGTGGGGATATACTAAGGCCGACAAGGATTTCACTTACCATCAGTTCGAAAGTCAATGTGAAACCTTATATGACTCACTCATCGCCTCAAGAATTATCAACAAGAAGTCTCGGGTCGCCGCGCAGCCCAGCTCTTTTGGGCCGACTCGACCCCATGTAGCCAGCACCTCATCGTCTTACACTTCAGCACCAAGATTGACCGACGAAGAGTATCAGTGGAAGATCGCATCGTATCGTGATGTGTTGGGCATCTGTCATTTCTGTAAAAGCTATTGTGGAAGCGAATACCGTGCTTGCAAGGGACCTTACGTCAGACAGAAGGTTTCGTTCCCTCCAGGATACGTGGCTCCACCAAAACCAGCCAACTACGTGCCTCCAAGGGCTCGGTCATCGCCTCCATCTTCAGCGCCGACAGCAGGACGAGCTACCTTACCTCCAGCTGGCAGACCACCAATCTCGTACGCCAAGGCAGCCGCGACCGCCGAATTTCCAGAACTTGATCAAGCTTCGGTCGCTGCGTTGCAAGCTTTGGATGAGGAACTCAAACAAACTGAAAGAGAAGAGGGCGTACCCGAACACAAAGCTCCTCGTGTCATTATCGAACTCATGTGCAATGGCAAACGATTGAGAGCCTTAGCTGATCCAGGGGCCGAAATTAATTTATTAACAGATCAAGCGGCGGAAATGCTTAAACTTCACCGTCGCCAATTGGTTCGGCCTACGCAGCTAGGCTTGGCAGTTACAACCAACTCCCCTCCACCGTTGTTGACACACTTCACGATCGCAAATCTTTCGGACGAGGTATCAGGGAGAAGATTTGACAGAACATTTTTCAAGTTAGGAGATGTGGGTGGCGAGTTTGATATGATTTTAGGCACCCCCTTCTTTAGAATCTTTCAATTCTCTGTGTCTGTCTGCCAAAGGGCCATTGTTTGCGAGCAAAGTGGAATGAAAATTATTGATTATAGGCGTTTGATTGAGATGAAAGAGAGAGAGTTGCGTGAGAATGTGCCGCGGATTGTTGAACCCAGTGAGAGTGACAGAAGGTTGGGAGGCAGAAGTGAGTAAGCGTGAAAAGGCTTATCAGCAGCAAGTTT